AGATTTATGCTCTACTCATATAAAAAGGTACTTCGTCAATTGTCTTTTTACTTGATTGCAAACAATGAGCTACAACAGCCTTGTTTTAGAAAAAATCGTAAGGGTGCAGGCGAGCTGGTGAATATTAACCATGTTGAATTAACCCGAGACTGGTGTAGAGAAGACACATCAAAACGTAGAAGGGACAGAAAATAGACAGGACGACGTCTCAAACTCAGCTAACTTAGTTATTTAGTCCACTTCCTTTTATAGTCTCAATCTCAAGATCATCTCCACCAACACGAAAGGACAAAGTCTATACAGATCAAGCTCCACAGCCTTCATCACACAATGCAAGAACGTTGACAACGTTTACAGGTTGACGCGATAAGGCAACATCCATCCACCCTCAAACTTGAACAGAAGTATGAACTGTGTATAGAATAGTAGTGGAAGAGATCCTTTTGTACAAGTTTGAGGGTGGATGTATGTTGCCTTACCGCGTCGACCTGTAAACATTGTCAACGTTCTTGCATTGTGTGATGAAGGCTGTGGCGCTTGATCTGTATAGACTTCATCTTTTTGTGTTGGTGGAGATGATCTTGAGATTGAGACTATATAAGGAAGTGGACTAAATAAGTAAGTTAGCTGAGTTTGAGACGTCCTTTCTATTGTCTGTACCTTCTACGTTTTGATGTTTCTCTCTACCCATCTCAAATTAATTCAACATAGTTAGCCTTTTTTTGCTTCTTTGCCACATATCTTCCTGTTCTTGAAGTTATGGTTAAGAGTAGGACTGGAATACGAAGTTTCAGTCCCAAACTTTCTACTCTGAGAAATTCGGAGATCGCTCGTGAAAATCGCAACAGTAGCAAAAAGCCATATTGAGTGGTGTAGCTTGTACAGCCTGGGATGGTACTCATTTGACCACATAGGCAACTGCAGACAAGAAATACACCAAACTAAATGTGATGGACTGTTCAGGTAAAGCTCTAATTGGACTGTTTTTATTACAGCAACGAAGTGAGATACATTTTCCAGTGCTCGCTTCACCTATAAGTATTTCTCTTGCTGTAATTAAACTTGTAACCAATCCAGTGTAAACACACTATGACAGCCACCTGGTTCGGGCCTTCGGCCTACATGTTCTACCACCGTCTCTCGTGAGCAAAAGAAATGACATTTTCAAATTAACTGATGTCGCCCAGATGAATTGTTGGTTCGAAAATATTTACTGACACTCTGCTTCCTCTATGCACTGGTACAAATGAGAGTTGTCTTTGTCCTAAACGATCGAGTGACTTTACATGACGCGAACTTGGTATAAAAGGCAACCTCCACTGAACAAAACCGCAACACCCGGGGAGCTTCATCTCAATCTAGCTTCTTTACTCCCGGTGTGGTAGCGGAGTCTGCTAAGCATACTTTCAAGGCAGAAATTATTAAAGTGGTGAAGAAATTTCAATCTAACAAGCCGCTTGTGCGGCTCAGAAGTTTAGCTTCTTTTCCGGCGCTGCTCATCGGGGCTCTGATCGATGCATCAACCAATTTGGTCCACGACGAACAAACTAGCAGCGCAGGTGGGTACAAAAGCTAGGTACTCGCCCTCGCAGGATAGCATGATACCGCTAGCTTCCGCCGGTTGCGAGTTGCTTTTCACTACGTACTCCGACACCGGGCGGGATGTACTACAGTCCACTCTGATGCAGAATATAAGTTCTGGTAGATGCAGCTTGTAAGCAAGGCGCTGCACAGAGCCGTTCGGTGTCAGCGGAAATCCCGATGCCTTATCTTTTCGATTAGGTTGGCGCTCACTCACCTGTTATTGACAAAAAAGGAAGTCTAATTTTCACGGAAGAGAGACTACCGTCTCGATTATGGGAACGTTTTTATCAGTTTCTTCGTAGCCTCAGGCACGCCGCACTCAATCGGCGACCACCGTTGCTTTGTCGCTGGTTGTGTCACCGACCGCTACCGGCTGCACCGCTGCACCGACTGAACCAGACTGAACGCTTAGTAGTAGTAGTGACTCGTTGAGGCTTTACGTCGCCTAGGTTGGCCTAGCTAATGATGCTGGCTCTGGCAGGCGACGAGCCCTGAAAATGGCATTTTATAATTACAAAAAGAAAACAAAAAAAACAGTGTTGCTAATTCTTTCAGTGCTGGCTTGCGAGTGGTTGCAGCCTGTCTCTGAGCCCTGCGTCTGTGATGAACCTTATTAGAGCCTTAAAAGACCTCCTGCAGGTTCTCCGCGCGCCATCCGGAAACAGCGCGTCTTGAGGTGATACCCCTGGACCGGATGACAGTCTTCGGAGCATTTCTGTCCTGTTTGTCTCGTACTCCGTGCATACTGACAGTATGTGCTCTACTGACTCTACCTCGTTGCAACTGGGGCACCTAGGGTCCGGTATTCTCATAATTCTGTGCAGAAACTCGTTGGTGTACGCCGCGTTTGTTCGAAAGTGACGGACGAGGGTCGACGCTGCTCGTGTGAACCCAACCAGTGTTCCTCTTGGTAAGGCCGGTTCCGGTCTCTTGCTTTGTACATGCCTTTTCTTATTTCTTTTCTTATTCTTATTCTTATTTCTTTTCTTATTCTTATTTAACGTTATCGGAATCATTTAATAAGTGTTTTGTTGACTCCGTAAGAAGCATAAAAAATAACATTTCACTGAATGGTCCCAATCCCGTCACTTCACAGGTCAGATGCTCTAGTTCGGCGTACTTACCTCAGATGACGGAGAGCGAACTTCTGAGGATTATAAATGCTATGCCAATAACTAAAACACCGGGATTTGATAATATTAGAGTACGAGATATTCGGTATAATTTTAATAAATTAAAACACGTTTTAATGAAAATAATTAATGACACCTTTCATACCGGAAGAATTCCTAAGGGCTTGAAGATATCTATTATACGTCCACTGTATAAAAAGGGTAAAAAACAGGAATTGGAGAGCTACAGGCCCATTTCCATTCTGCCAGCATTAGCTCATATAATCGAGAAGTGGGTACAACTAACAATGACCAATTTTTGTGATAAATTTAATTTATTTTCTAGTACGCAATATGGTTTTCGACAACAAAAAAGTACTATTACACTTTAAGAAGATTTTTCTGACAGTGTTAATCAAGCACTAGACAATAACAAGATTGCCCTGGCACTTTTTATAGATCTATCGAAGGCTTTTGATACCATTGATCATGCTCTGTTACTTGAAAAGCTTTACAGATTGGGCTTCAGGGGACAGTTTTATAACTTTTTTCAGAATTACTTTAACGACAGACAACAAATGGTTAAAATTATGAATAATATAAGTAGTAAAGTTAAAGTCGAAGGTGGTGTACCACAAGGTAGCACTCTGGGACCAATTTTATTTAACGTTTACATAAATGATTTGGGTATTCTACCTCTACGATCTAAGCTATTTCAGTATGCTGACGATACGGTGCTAGTTTTACCTTATGAAAACTATGATGATGCTGTTTTAGTCTTCCAAAGAGATATAAATGAACTAATAGGTTGGTTTAACTCAAATGCCATTTCCGTTAATTTTGCCAAAACTAAGTTACTGTGTTTCCGAAATTCTCATAAACGTATTGATATGTCACCTAGAATTTTACTTCATTCGACACCGTGTAATAATTGTACTTGTAAACCTTTGCCAAACGATAATTCTGTAAAATATCTAGGATTATACGTCGACGAACATTTATCATGGAATCAACATGTGGAATTTGTGACTAAAAGATTACGTGCCGTTTCAGCATATCTGTACAGAATAAGAAGCTTGTGCAGCGTAAAGATAAGACTACTGGTGTACAGGTCGTTAGCTGAATCAATTCTACAATATGGAATCCCTTTATATGGTCACTGTTCTCCATACAAGACAAATGCAATAAACAGAATTTTAAAACATATGGTTAAAAACATCACATACGGAACTACATACGGAACATTAGATATGGAAGATAAAGCAAAGAAGCTCCAAATTTTATTCTTTAAAAATTTTCATAGATACGTTACGTTTATAAATTATTTCTACGATGCAACGTTCAAGGTTCCAGTGGACAAGCCTAGGGACCTAAGGCGCAAAGAAAGGTTTATAATCCCCAGAATTTACACGCGATACGGAAAAAGATGCAGAGCTCACTTTATTCCCACCTTATTTAATGAGCTCACTGAGCCTTTAATGAAAATAAATTCGATAAAAGTACTAAAAAAAAAAATAAAAAACTGGTGCCTCTCATTACCTCCATAAACACTGCTTTACTCCCATCACTGTATACTTGCCTCTTGATGATTTCGATAGTTGTGTTCATTTTGTTTTGTGCCGAATCGCGGCTTTGTTTTGTATTAATGTTGGTATCAATGGCCACATTGCACTCGTTCGATTTTTCTTTTTTATCATGATGTATTAATATGTATTTCGCTGGATTGTCTGGTCCTACGCACAAGCAGAATACTGCTTTTGTAGGCCAGCATTATTTGTATGTATTTGTAAAGGGAATAAAACACATTATTATTACTATTATTATTATTATTATTATTATTATTATGCACGTCTTGGATCACATTCCGTGTGTCCGCCGGTATGGTGATGCTGGCAGTCTTTTTGTGAGCTTCCGTTGCCAGGCTGTCTGCCTTCTCGTTTCCCTTGACTCCAACATGTCCTGGTATCCATTGAAGGTACACCGTTGTGACTTGCTTTTCCAGTTCGCCAACCGTGTTCCTTATAGCCGTGGTCAGTGGGTCGCCAACGGACGGATTGACCAATCTTTGTAAGGCGCACATGGAGTCCGAGAGGATGGCGATCTGCTGCGGTCGCAGCTCCGCTGCTGCGTTTAGGGCCTTCTCAATGGCCACCAGTTCTGCTGTCGTGGACGGCGTTGACACCTCGAGTTTTCCGCTCCACTCTGCGCCTGTTTCGGGAATGTAAAAAGCCGCCGTGCTTGATGTTCTCGCCCTGTTTACAGACCCGTATGTGTAGATGTGCAGTTTCCCACCGTGCATCCTTTCTAGTGGTATTCCACCGCTGACTTGGCCAGCAGCGGTGGTTTAGCTTTCTTGAAAATCAGGTGTTCAATTTTGATCTCACATGGAATCTCTGCCACTTCCCAGGGGGCCACTCTTGCGTCGTTTGCTACCGCTGGCAAAGGGGATGCCACATCTAGGAACTCGCCTATCACCGTCCTCCATCTGGACTCCTTCTGGTCTTGTAGTCGTGTGAGCAGCCATCTACTTGCGGTGGAAGTTGACAGTCTTGTTAGTTGTTGCAGCTGTCTCACTGCTGCTTGTCTCAAAAAAGGGTCTACGCCCATCTCTCTTAAAACTGCCTCATTTCCTGCGGCTTGAGGGACGCCCATTGCTGTGCGTAGTCCGCATTTCTGTACCCACTCCAGCTTGTCCCTGTCCGCTTGTGACGGCGTCATGTACGGAAGTCTGTATAAGGCTCGTGATGCTACCAAGGCTCTGTGGGCGGCCGCCAATGTCCGTTCAGAGCATCCCCAAGAGGTCCCTGTCATGCAGCTGATTGCATTTGCGGCCGGTCTGCAGACATCCATTACAGCTTTCACGGCCTGAGCCCATTTTAGTTGCCTGGTGTGTATAATGCCTAGGAAACGTTGTTTGTGTACCTGTTTGATCTTTGACCCTGCCAATGTTACGTCGGCTTGAGGGAAACGCCGTTCATTTCCACGTATTGCCATACAGGCTGCTTTCTCCTGTGAAAGGGCGAGCCCAGATTCCACCAGGAAACCCTCCGTCGCATTGATGGCTTCTTGAATGCAGTGGTAAATTTGTCTCTTGTATATTCCTGATACCCACAAGCAGATGTCATCTGCGTATATTGACATCTGTACCGGGAGTGCGGATCTGGGGATGGACTGTGGGAGCTTGGCCATCACTATGTTGAAAAGTGTAGGACTTAGCACGCTTCCCTGGGGAAGCCCGCGGTGCATGATCCTTGGGGTAGATACGATGCCACTGTCCCGTATCTGGATTCTTCGCCCAGTTAAGAAATTTCTTAGGGAGGCTTGAATCTTTCCAGTGAGTCCGATCTCGGTGAGCCTTCCGAGGATGGTAGAGAGGGGGACGCCGTCGGTATGCCCGCTCCACGTCGAGAAAGACGACCACGGTATTCCTCCGTCTGTATTTGTTGTCTTCGAGATCGCTAGTTGGATTCAAGATGCTATCTTGAGCTGTTAGCCCTTTCCTAAACCTCGTCATGCACTTTGGAATTCCTTCGTGCTTCTCCAGGTACCAAGAGAGCCGTGCCTCCAAGAGGCGCTAGAAAAGCTTGCTTACGCACGACGTCAGTGCCACTGGTCGGTAGGACTCCGCCCTGCCAGGCGGTTTGCCTGTCTTTAACAATGGGATGATGTCTGCCGATTTCCAGCCTTCAGGAACGTCTCCTGTTTCCCATATCTTATTGAACCAGTTTACCATGGTCTGCTGTGCCTCGTGCGTCAGGTTTGTTAAGGCCTGGTATGGTATCCCATCCGGGCCGACAGCGCTTTTTTTCCGGCATTTCTTCAGGGCGCTTTGGAGCTCTTGGACCGTGAAAGGGAAATCAATTGGCCCAGGTGTCATGTTGGGTTCTCTGGGTCGTTCTGGGGCTGCTACGGGTGCGCATCCTGCGCACAAGTTCTCCTATCTCCTCTGCCGACTTATTGCTTGACAGTGCTAAGGTCTGAAGCGAGTGTCTTGACCTGCCTTTTCCCGTCATGACCCCCCGAATTTTCCACAGCTTGGTCATGGAAGTGCGGGCGTCCGCGTTCTTGCAAAGGCCCAACGGCTCCTTACGAGGGATTTTGCATGCCGTCTCAACTTGGCTGATATCTTGTTGAAGTCAAACTTGTCGTGGGCCGAGCCAGTCTTCCGGAACCTTCGCTGTGCACGGGTTCTCGCCGCCGCTAGGTTCAAATACATCAGGTCTGGCTCTGGAAGCCATTCCGAGATGTTTGTTGTTTTTGTGGCCTTCTTAATGGCTGCTATGATGGCGCTTCGTATGTCGCCTTGGCTCGGGTCTAGCGCTGTGCGGAGCACGTCCAAGTTCACAGAGGACTTCCGCACTTTTTTAGTGATCTGACAGCCTCTCACCGTAATGCCGATGGGAAAGTGACCACTTCCTCGGGTGTCCGGAGCCAGTTCCCACTTTATCTCCAGGGATGGGGAGTGCGCCGTGACATCAAATGCGCTGTACGAGTTTGGTGGCCTGAAGAAAGTTGGCTGCCCATCATTTGCCACGGCAAGCCCTAGCTTCTTGATCACTGTCATTGGGGCGTCCCCCCTTCCTGTCTGTGCGCAACCTGCCCCAAACCACGTTGTGGCCATTGAAATCGCCGCATATGAGCACCTCCTCGGTTCTTTCGTGGCACCACTTCAGCATTTCCTCGCTCGGCAGGACTGTGCCGTCTGGACAAACGTACCCAAGTACTAATGCAATTCTCCGGTTCCCTATGCTCACCCACAGTCCCACAAACTCTGCTGACAGTGAGCACAACTGGCTGGTGTCAATTTCTTCATGCGGTATTCCTTTGCGTATATACAATGCCGCGCTATCGTACGGAAAACTTCGAATGCATTGGGTGGTTCGTCCAATGTATCCGGGTAGGGTTCTCTTACCAGGCAGCCCAGACTCCATCAATGCCAACACCGGGCTTGGGTGACGTTGTACAAACAGTCTGACCTCACTGTGTTTGGTGATGAGGCCCCTGGCGTTCCACTGAAGGACGGTGAGAGCCGTTCGTGTCTGCTTAGTGGGTCCGGAGGGTCGTTCTGTCATCGGGTGGAGAGTTTGCTTCTGTTTGCTCTCCACTAGAAGAGAGTCCCCAGACTTTTCTCCAAGGAGAGGAGACTCCTCAGTGTAGTGCGGAACCCTGATGGTGGCAGCAGCTCGAGAAGCCTATGCAGCGTTGGGAAAAAAAGGTTGATGACCTTTCCCTTTGTCGACTGCATACTGGACCCCGCGGCCGCCGTCTTTGTCCTGTTCGACCAGGCCCCCACCTCAGACGAGCAGCTCGGGTTTCCGGTGCCCTTAGCCGGGTCTGGAGAGGAGCCCTGGGCAGCCTTGCAGTAGGTGTAGGTGCCCGTGTTCATGGCGGTGGGGTCCCTGCCATCGTTTTCTGGAATTGCGGTCTTTCCTATTCCTGAAGGTCGGAGGCTGTCTTGTACCTCAGGATCTGTTTCCCTCGTCGTGGTCGGACCTCTGGGCAGCACAATGCCTGTTCCCAGTTTCATTGACTGTTGGTCGCTGTGACTTGTTCTTTCGTTGATCTTTTACCACCCTTGCTGCTTCCAGGAACGTGATGAACTACCGAGCCTTGACCCGGCAGGTTTCCCTTTCCGTTTTGAGCCTTCGGCAATCCGGCGAGGTTGCAGCGTGCGCTTAGTGGAAGTTCACGCATTTCTGTAGAGAGGCGCAGCTATCCTCGCCGTGCTGTTGTGAGCATTTGGGGCAAATGGCATCATTAGGACAGACTGCCGCTATGTGTCCCATGCAAAAAGACCGTCGGCACTGCAGGGGGCGTGGCACGAAAGGCTTAACGCTGTGGCGTATTAAGCCGATCTTGACGTGGGCAGACAATGTGTCGCCCTCAAAAACAATTTTAATTGCCCGAGTGGTGCCCAAGCGCCTCACTTGAAGGACGCGCGCTCCGCTGTCAATTAGCGTCGTCAGCCTGTCTTCAGTGGTTGTGGTATCGACGTCTGTAATTACGCCTGCGCGTGCGTAGTTCGCGCGAGGCAGGAAAGCACGGACCGGCACACCGCCTATTTTGCTCAGAATGAGAAGCTCCAGTACCCCCGCCTCCGACCTTGCATCTGCGGCTATGATGTTTTTACGTGTGTTTACTCGAACTTCGCTGAACTGTCCTGGGGCCAGCGCTTGCAGTTCGTCTGAGAGGAGCTGCCGGTTGATCTTTCTCAGGTTCGTACTCAGGTCTATTGGCGCGAACAAGACGGTGCGTGATGTAGTGGCAAGTTTCACGGTACCTTTGCTTTGTTGCGATCCTTCGTGACGGGTTCTCTTTTTCTTTCTGTTGGTCACCATGGTGAATTCGCCGTTCTCCTGACCGTCAAGCACGGTGTCGTCCACGGCGTTGCTTGGTGTCGATGTTGTGCTGGCGGTCTCGCCGGCGCTGTCCGCACTTAGTTGTCGTTTCGTTGACGCAGGTGGTAGTCCTCGGACCGGTTCACCCATCTGGGACATCGCGCCAGAGGGCCCGAGCCCGGGACGCAGCCTGGTGCTCCCACCGAGAAAGTCGGCGTCAAGAGTGGCCGGGTGCCTACGGAGTCTTGAGTCCCCTTCCAGCGAAAAAGAAAACAAGAAGAAAAGAAACTTCTATCGCGCTGACGGTGGCACTCCGCAGACGACACAACCGTTCGCGGCCAAGTCAAAAAGCACAATGACTGAACGCTTCACTTACAAGCCTTCAATGTCAATTTCAATGTTGTGACGTAACGGTTTGCTGATTATTGCAAATGGCTCACTTAGAGTTCGCGCTACAACCGCTTGGCGAATAATTGGCACTGGCGGTGGCCCTTGCACCACCCAATGGCCCAACTCTCCCAATATACGGCTATGCCGTCGTTGATTTGGCCAGCTGTGCGCCGTGTTGTTCTGTATCAAGCAACCAAGCTGTCCCACAGAACAACCAGACAGCGCGAGCCATGATCTCGAGTGGGTGCATGCGCGCGGCGCGTGCATCGGGGACGTGGAACGTCGCTGCTCCTCGCGCACGCGGAGCATGGCTCTCCAAGAGCCACGCGAAACTGCTCAAACTTGGCCAGTGTAGCTAACGCTACAAAATAAACTCCGAAAAACACGCTCCGATTCTATTCAAAAATGAACTCTGAAAACACAGTACACTACTTATAATACGAGTCTATGCGCAGCCAAAGCCCGGCATAAAACAACGAGCGCGAGGGCCGCTTGAGTCGCGCGCCTCGCCTCGGTTCAAAGCCGAAAAAGTGTAGTCGACCGCCATCGTTACTTATCTCGACAGCATTTCGCTCAAAGTAGGTTCAGCGACACGAACACGCTCATAAGTAAACATATTGCTTTGAGGTGAATGATCGAATGCGTGGTTTAATTAATGATGAGGTGTACTGTGACCAACGCGCTCGAATAAAACGCAGATTTCATTGTTCCGGCAAGCTGCAGGGCGCCTCTTTAAAAAAGTTTTTCAGGGGAGGCACTTACTTTTTTTTATTTGTTTAATTGAAATACCCTCAGCGCCATTAGCATTACAGAGGTGGGTGGGAGTTAGAAGAAAACAGAACAAAAATATAAGGCAGGTGTACACTTTGGAGCTCAGTCTGAGCTGTATAGAATATTGACGGCAGTTTTAAACCTATGGTAAGTGGCAATTGTGGCAATAGATGCGGGAAGGTGGTTCCAGTCCACTGAAATTTTGGGAATGAATGACTCTTGTTTTGGAATGTTTACTTTATATATATATATGATGAATGCGTGACAAAATATTAGACGGGTGATTCAGCAGTCGGTTGTGAAGTCTTGCGCTATTATGGTATCTCTTATGAAAGCGACATTAACGCGCTATTTTACGACGTAAAGTAAGGCAGGCAACGATAGGCTGGTTTTCATGGAGCTCACGCTTGGCATGCGATCATAATTATTAAGATAAAACACGCAGAGAAATTTTGTACTGATCGAACGACGCTTTAGCGAGCAAAACCTCGCCCACGACATTTCATCGAATGACACTTTAGTGAATGGCGGCGTTCATTTGAGCGAATAGATAAAATGGAGGCCGCCGGCGTCTTGTTTTCGAGCTTCCCGAACCTTTGGCGATAGACGCTCGAACTTGAGATCATATTAATTTTCCCCAAACAATAGCAAAGCACCCCTTGCTATCGTTCCGAACAGACCGCGTGGCGC